AACGTCTCCTGAATTTTTCGTCGTGCTTCACAAGACAAAGCCCTGCCGTCGTGCTCGGGCCACGATTCCTGGACACGTGGGCACAGAGCAAGTTCTAGTCCGCGCACAGACCCACTGTTTAGTGTCAAGAAACGAACATTCCTGCAAGCGAGTCTCGTTCCAGGGCCTGAATGGTGTCCTCTTGCTCTTGCATCTGCACAAGATTGCCCTGGTACTCTTGGCGAAGCTGTCGGAACCTTGGGTGGGTGAATGACATTCCAACGCGACCGTACTTCTACTCTTTTATTTCATACCAGTACCGAGTGACGTCCGTAGCACCTCCTGCACCCATGGATGCTCTTCGACATCCACGTAGCAAACTTCGCTGGGCCCTGAGGAAAACACAACAATGGAGGTCCGCAAGCTAAAGAATGCGAATGCAAGAACCGAGTTGAAGTTGCTAAGAACGTGGCTCACATTTGCCCCCTCGTTCTGGGCATGGTCCTGCTCGGCTGGGTCCTTCTCAGTCTCGGCGGCCTCGTCCTGGTTCACATTCGTCGGTTCCGTTTTCTTCGTCTTCGCCTTGTCATCCTTGGAGTTGGGCTGCTCATGACCCCAAATCGTTTCTTTCGGCTCCAGTCGCCTCTTTGTCTTCACTCTGGTCGCAGGGATTTTTTTGTTGTTGAATCCTCTGCGCGTGCCTCTGCATGCTTGACACAGCTTGTCCCGGCGATAGGTGCCCTCCCCGCATCTCACGCAGGCCCATGGCATTTGTGAGAACTACTTCTAATGTGTTTCTGCCAATGATGTGCCACACGTAATAATTAGAACTGAGCACAACCCCAGGCTCAACAGCTTGGCCGTGAAATGCTGCGGGCAGGGTCCCCAAGTCTGCTGCAATCGTTCAGAGAACACGGTTGTGGCAATGCAGTGGCTGAATCACCAATACCGAGGCCACGACGGATCTGACAACAAGGAGCATCTGCTTCTGAGCTGGGGAACCGATTCACCTGGCAGCCAGCTCTCCAAGGCCGAAACCCGAAACCCATGTGCAAGTTCAGTGTGTCGGGTTGCTTCGGCGTGGTGTTGATGGAGCCTTACGACCCTTACGTCGCCCTTCTTTCCCTCACGCGACCCTTATTTGATTGCACCGTATGTCACCCGTGTTTCATCCTTATTTCATCCTTATTATTATCTCCCACAGGAATCATTGTCATTCTCCTACTACATGGTACTCATGCTACTATCACGCCGAAAATCAAGTGCAAGCAACAAACAATTGCAAATCGGCGCCTTGGACGGTGCTTGTTTTTGTCGCGCCGGGGCCGGCGGTTGCCATCATCCGCTAGGACGGACACACGTGTGCAGCTTGGTAAAAGCATCGGGCTGCCGGCCTTTGGCCAGACACAAGCCTCTCAGCGACCGAACTGCAGGAGCCGTGCGTCCCTTTCTATTCCAGCACGAGGCGTTTGCCTGTGCAGTCTTTGCATTCCGGGCAGCCTGACACCGACCAGCTGAAACACCACATTAACACGGAAGTTTTTTTGGGGGACCGATCCTTTTACGTGCTAATCTGTAGGTAGCTCTAGGTACAGGCTAACTAACTACATCCTCAGCTGTCGGTGTCACACGCTGCAAGCCTGCTACAAAAGGTGCTCGAGGAGGTCGAGCAACTTGACGAAGTTCATCATCTTAGAGATGCTCTCACTCTCGCACGGGTGCTTGAGCTCGACGTGCCGGACGACTGCGTCCGCGCCTTCGACGACGCTTGCCATCTTCTCGAGTGAGTCCCATCGCCGGCTTTCCGCCAGCCAGCACAAGTAGCATTCCAGAAACCTCCCTGACGATGCCGACTTCTTTTCAGAAGTCGCGTAGCCGTAGTCGCGGACGAAGGTGTCGTCCACCAGCGTCAAAGCCAGCGTTAAGAGCCAGTTACCCTTCTGAGAGCAGGCCGTGACTCTTGCGTCTTCCTGGGCCAACGCCATATTGTGGAAGGCGTTGTGCATCGTGGTGCGGAAGGGCCCATCCTTGAAGGCCCGCAGCTCCTGCAGAAGTCCGGGGGTCTGCTGTGCCTCCACCACTGCTTCGTGCAGCGTCTCCATGAGTGAACCCAGCTTCTCGTCCACGATCCTTGCTGCGCCACGACCACCGCAGGCCATGGCAACGTCAGGTAGTCAGGTGTCTCAGGAACAGGCGGAACGCAAAGCGATCAAAATGATCGAGCTGGGGGCACAAAAAAGATTGAACCACAATGCAGCAGCCATCATCAGAATCATGCACCACCAACAAGGCAATGCAGCCATCATGCGTCCGGCTGAGTAAAAGGCACATGCAATAGGAAGGGCCCGAGCCTCGTCGTGTGCAAAACACGTTCGTTTCCTCGATGCGACGGCCTGTCGATACACACAGTACAGTCATCATGTGTACGCACTATTTCACCTCTATTGCAGTCCTACTCACGTTCTTTCACGCTTACGTCCTCTTTGTTAGGCTCTTCTTTCCTTTATTGGACCCTTATTAGCCCTTCTTATTTCACGCTTACCTCACCTGACTTAAGCCAGAGGGCCTGAGTGGGGAGTAAGCTTGTCAATTTAAGCCCTAGGCGCTTAAACTGGTTGGTGGGATAAGTTCCAACCCCGAAACCCTGAAACCTATGCCATTGACCTCTGCGTGCCTCAGGCTCATCACATCCACTAGGGCCCAGGACCTGGCCATGAGCTCATTTTTGTTGAATGGATCGCTTTAGGATACGGTTCAGGGTTCACCGATTGAAAGCTTCGTCCAAAATGGGTCACTACATTAAATCAGCCACTGGGGGAACCAATGCGACTTGCAATTTCATGTGTGTAGATCACTAGAACTGATCACGCATTTTTCCCCTTAATCTCATGGACGATCTTGCGGAAATGTGATCGCCGCCGGACCCCAAAAGTGAGCAAACCCTTGTTGCTGCTCACGGTAACATGTCCTCCGTGAAACACAGCGAGCGGCGTAGCTTCGGTGGAGGTTGGGAGATGTTGCCATCCGTGGCCTTGGTCTTCCCCTGCACGTTGTTTTGCCCTTCCTGCTTTGTCGCATCCTTCTTGGGCATGTCGTCGGCAATCTTTTGTCGTGGTGGCTGAACAGGACAAAGCACTTGAGCATCTTGACTCTCGTCAAGGTCCCAGCCTGAGCTGGGTGGTGAGAGCCACAGCTGATTCCTGACAGTTGTCGGTGGATGCCAGGACTCAGTGCTGGCTTCATCCACGGGCCGACATCTCTTCTTTTTGGGCGTAAAGGCCTGGCCTGTGCCCATGTCCGTCTCTGCCATGGCGAACGGAACGGAAGCTTAAAGTAATGATTAAGTTGATTGCGGGCGCAGACTGCAACGTGAAACCTCGCAGGTCACAAGCATACAACTGCAGGCGGGTGCCTCAGGCCGGGGCATGTGCAGCGACTTCTAGCTGCTACGTAGCTCGACCCAAAAGTTTCACGGAGGAAACTGGCAAGCCGCGAGGCAACGTACAAACCCACAATCCCCCTGCAGACATGCAAACACACACACACAGACACACAGCCACACACACACAGAGACAGACACACACACACGCGCACACACACACACACACAAAAACGCACACGCACAGACACAGACACAGACACAGACACAGACACAGACACAGACACAGACACAGACACAGACGCACACACAGACACAGACACAGACACAGACACAGACACAGACACAGACACAGACACAGACACAGACACAGACACAGACACAGACACAGACACACACACACACACACAGACAGACACACACACAGACAGACACACACAGACAGACACAGACAGACAGACACAGACAGACAGACAGACACAGACAGACACAGACAGACACAGACAGACACAGACAGACACAGACAGACAGACACAGACAGACAGACAGACACAGACAGACAGACACACACACACACACACATATATATAAGTAAACAAACACAAACAGTTCCGGAAAGTTGGCCCAAGTAAGGGCTTGGGGGTGTCACGTGTGGGTTTGAAGGGGAGGCCGCCAAAGACCCCTGAAGCCGCGTAACCCCCGGGGAGGCCGCCTTCCCCCCAGTAAGCGCCTTCCCATTAGAGCCCTCCCGACTGCCTGGCCATACCGGTGAATTGGCGCCGTAGGCTGCCCTGCCACCGACAGGTAAGACACGTGACACGACGCAAACAACAATAAATCGTGACTCTTTGCTTTGCTTCTGCCATGGCAGCACCCGCGGACTGCACCCCACATTTTCGGAACCTCTTTCCTTGCTCTCGCGGGAAACACACACACACACACACACACACACGCGAAACTGCTCTGCGAGACGCGCGGGTTTGAGACGATGTGGCGGCGCATGCCCAGCCGCGTCAACGGTTGGAATCGCTACCCAAAAGACTTTTCTAAATGGGCTTCCCCTTCTAACTTCTCTATATTTATTCTCTTCTGTCATACTTGAACGGGGAGCGGGGGGTTGCGGCGTTGGCTGGCCTCAGCAACAAAACTGACCATCCAAGCGAGGCAGGTCCTCTGGACCCGCTGACTAGGCTGGCGTGGAAGAATCCAAGCTGCGGAGCTTGTCCAACAAATTCTGCTTCTGCTCACTGGATGCCTCCTTCTTGTTATCCTTCGGCTTGTTGTTGGCATCCTTTCCCTTCTCGTTGTCCTTCTCCTTGTCCTTCTGGTTCTCTTTCGCCTCGGCGTCCTGCTCCTTCTTGTCCTTCGCATTTGTGTTTGCTTTGGCCTTGGCTTTCGGCGCTGCACTGATCCGCATGGACTCCGGAAGTGCATCTCTGAGGCCCTGCTCGAAGAGGGGGTCGCTGGGGTGCTGCATTGCCCGGAACACCTGGTTGGCCAACTGCTTTTCCAGCAACTCCTTGTGTTCTGGTGTGTGGCATAGCCCGAAGTAACTCTTCCGCAAACGGATGGCTGTCATGGGCAGCACCGGGTCCGAAGCGGTGAGGTCCACCCAACCAGCCCCCGAGAAAGAGTGATGCAACTATTCTGTCGGGAGCCCATGCCAGCAAAAGGGAACCATGCTGGAGGGCTTCGGCCCGGGATCCACTTCCGGCCCCGGGTCGCCATCCACAGTTCCCCCCACGGCGATCAGCGCCTTGCCCAGGAGGTCCGACTTGCTGGCGTGCTTCACCTTCCAGAGGCTTTCTGGCGGCGTCCTCTCGAAGGGGCCGAGGCAATCAGACGCCGTGCTTCCCGGCACGTGCAGGTGATCTTTCGCCACGACCTCGAGCGTCTTCTGGCTGAAGACGTTCATACTCAGCATGGTGGACAACGTAGCAATGCCCTTGACCCGGGCTTTCACCTGTCGCTCGGACTGCTCCGTTGTCAACACGTACAACTGCGTCTTGACCTTCGGAATCACCTTGCCGCCGTCGTCCACAAAGGCCTTCGAGGCATTGCCTGCACTGCCCAGGTTCCTGTCGATGAAAAAGAAGGCGGCCTTCTCCGGGATCTGTGGCAAAACGTTCTGCGCCGGCTGGAGCCCCTCCAAGGCTCCCTTGATGCATCTTTTCAAGTGCTCATCCCTTAAGGGCGGCGGTCTCAAGTGCGGCCTGGACGATGCTTCTCCAGCTCTCGTGACATCGTACAGGACAAGCACGTACTCCTGCTTCCCAGTGACCTTCTGGGAAAGCGGGTCCGCCCGCAGCAGCTGAGCGACCCCGGAGACGCTGCCAGGGTCACCGTGCAAATTCACATACCTGTCCACCAAGTTCTTTGCATAGGTGACCCACTGAGCCAGCACGCCTTCCTTGTCGTCCATCTTCTTTGCCGAGATACCAGGAAGCATCATCCCGCCATCCTCCTCGTCACTCAAGTCAATGTCCTCCACGTCGATGCCCTTCTTCTCCATGTCTGGCGCTGGCCGGCCATCGCCCTCCGCCTCCAGCGCGGCAACGAACTCATCCATCTTCTCCTTCACGGGGGAGCGAGTGAGGGCCTCCTCCATGCTGTGCCCGCCATTCTTGGCCTGCTTGATCACTTCGTCGTACTTGTTGTCGAAGACGAGCTCCTGGACAGGTCTCACTCACAGTCAGGCTTACAGGGGTTTGTGTAATGGCGGTGCCGTTACATTTATTTCCGCTCCTCAAAGAGTTTGACGCCTTTCTGCGCCGAGTCAGGCAAAGTCCCCACCCAGGACGCGCTGCCCTTGAACATTGCTTTCCTGTACTCCTCGGGGCTTTTCTCCCACGCGTCCATGCGCTTCACGGCCACCTCGCTGACCTTCAAGTCACGTGCCTGCAATGCAGCATAGGACGAGCAACAACGTAGACTCACCGTGAATCAATAATTTTTAAAAGCCGGAAATTTGCCTTCTTGATCATGCACCACGCGATCTCCTTCTTGCACATGCACAAGTCAACGATGCCCCTGCCGCCGGGCTGACCCTTTCCTGAAAGTTTCCGGACGCTCAGCTCGCGCGGAATGGTCCCGCCGTACTGGACCATGTCCGCAATCAGCATGACGGTCCAGTGGATCATGTCTTTCGAGGATGCCCTCTTCACGATGGCCTGCCACGCGCGCAGAGTAACTTTCCCGAACAATGCAACTCGGAACTGTCCACGTTTTGAAAGAAGACAACAGGCACAACAGGATACCGCAAATATAAGCAGGCTTTACAACCATTATATGATACACATATTTTTTCCTGTATCCAGAAAATGTACATGTATTCTGGTAATTACTGACTGCGAAAAGATAGCTCAGTGCTTAGCTAGGTGCTTGGCCCGTGGAGCTAATTTGATTCGCTAATTCACGTTTTAGCTAGACCTAATCAGCTAGCTACGTCTGTAGCTATGCGGTTAACACCGATTTCCTCGCTGCTTCGCTACGTACTTTGCCAGTTCGCTGAGAGCTTAGCTAACTGATTAGCGGAAACTCGTTGCTAGCCACTCCGCAAAACACTTACTTCATTACTCAGAACTCACCAAGTCGTGTTAGTTAATACTTCCCCTTCACCGACTCCTTCATGTATCTTGTCCACCGCCTATCTATAAAGAAGGGGAGCCTCCAGCTGGTAGATGCTGTCAAACACCGGGCCATTCTTCCAGGCCTCCGTCTGCCTCAAAAACCGCTCCATGTCGTTCTCTGTCAGAAGCCGGTTGTACACGGTCACCGCCGCGTCGATGAGGCCAACCTTGATGGCTTCCTCCTTGTTGCGGCCGCTCTCAGAGACCTTGACGTTGTCCCTCCACGCGGTCTCCAGCGCTTCAGCACCCATCGTCTTGCCGCCATGCAGCTTCTCCAACATGGCCTTCGTCTCCATGATGGCCAATATCTTTTCGATTGTGCTCAATTTGGCCGTCTCACCGATCTCCATCATGTCCTCGCGGCATTGGTGCGAGGCCCACAACCGCTTCTCCATGCTGTCGACGTACTTCACTTCCATGGATGCGCACAAGAAGAGATCCCGCCATTTCTGCAAGTCCTCTTCCCCTAGGCTCGCCTTGATGTCTCTGGCGGCTGCCACCACCGGAGCCCATGCGAACTCAAGCGGGCTGAGCGCCTGTCTCATTGTTGTTACACTCTGTCCGTATCTGTAGTCACAGCTTCCAAATCATATCAAACATTTTACAAACGCCGTGCCTCCACGTGGCCTTTCATGTCATCCGGAAAGTTCCCCGACGAGATGCAACTCTTGATCTGATACGGGAGCTTCCTCTCAGGGGCCTGGAAGAAGTGCTTCACGACATCCTCCAACTTGTGTAGGGAAACCTTGATCGGCGACTGCACGAAGTCCAGCCAGAACAAGTTGTAGCCAGCCTGGAAAATCATTGCGATGCTCAAATTGTGATGTTACCAGAGGGTCTCGTTGCGTCCACAACGTTTTCTTCTAAGGCTGCTACAGCTTGAAGTACTCTGCTTCCTACCGGTTCTTTTCTACTCTTAGCTACATTGGCAGACGCTGCACTCAGACATTCTCTATTATTCTTCAAAACACTACTCTTGAGGTCAGGTACTGTCTATTGAAATCTTCCGCACCTACCCAACTTGATGTAGTTTCCAATGCCCAGTCTAAGCTGTCACCGGCCTCCATGAAGGTCTCTTATTCTTTAAACGCTCCTCTTGCATTCAGCTACTGTCTTACTTCAAGTCTTCCGCAGCTACCCAGCTTGATGTAGTTACCAATGCCCGTCCTCTAAGCTGTCGCCTCCATTCTCGGTCATGGCTTGCCATGACTCGCGCTTGTACGGCTCCATGCTCACGAAGCTTGGGTTGCGTCCTGGCAGGTCCTGGAAAAGCGGGTGGCCAAGGACGACGGCTTTACTCTCCAGGAAGAGCTCCAAGGCAGGGGACGGAGGGACTCGGTGATCGATCTCCATGGGCAGAGGTGGCATTTCACCGTCACCCGCAGCAGGCTCTGCCGCGTCCACGGGCAGGGCTGCAGCCTTAGCCTTAGCCTTGGCCTCAGACTTAGGTCTGCCCTTCGCTTTGGCTTTGGGCGCGCTGTTCGGCGAGGCTGGCTCCGCCCGCGACTTACGCTTGGTCATGGCGTGAGTGCACTTGCTTTCAATTGGGCAGCTTGCTCCGTGCTTTCGGATATAATCATAACTACTGCTTACTCAAACCGCAGCACGCTGGTCCTGGCTGATGATCGCACTGCTTAGGCTTAGTCCCCCACAGCAACAGCAACGGTAGCCATGCCTCGTCGGCCGGCCCGCGAGATTCCGCGCCGCCTGGTCGGAAAGCAAACAGTGAAGCGCAAAGGCAAAGCAGACCCGCTTCTAGGTGACAGCTGGCAGGAATGGTTGGGAATCATCAAAGACCATGGACCTATGTGGCTCTACGCCGCAACTATCATCTCTCACGCCTGCTGCCTCCGCATTACCGAGACCCTCATGTTGACAGCGGAGAGCTTTGATTGGTACCGCAACGTGGTTGTCGTCCCACCCCTCAAGGGTCAAGAGGAAACGGAGAAGGTAATGCCCTCCCGCGCAGTGACGTTGTTCAACGACTGGTGGCGCAACGGCGGCCTCCGAGTGTCTCGCATGAAGAAGCAAGGAAATCGCGGCATTGTTCCAGTGGAGGAGACCTGGACATGGCCAGCGCAGGGGTATCTTTTTCCTGCGACCCGTAAAGACTCCAAATTGAAGAGGAGAACCAAGGACTCAGGGACTTTCAAAGAGAGCTCCTCTTCGGATGTTCTTTAGCACTGTACCTAGCTAAACACATAATAAACGTGCCCCGGCTCCAACAAGACCCTGTGTAAGCGTTTACCATGCAATGTCCTGGTCTTATTTGTTTGACATTCGTGCCCACACGATACGCACGGAGGACTCCGTGGCCAAGCAGATTGCCAAATTGCGCAAGAACATCACCAATGCTACGATCAAGAAGGAGAAAGTTCGGAGCCACAGCGCTCGGCACAGAAGTATAAACGACATGAAGGCTGCCGGAATTGATCGCGAAGTTGGAAAACAGTATGCCAGAATCCGAGATGATGGCGTTTGGGCCGGCTATGGACGGCTCTCCGCCTTCCAGGCAGGAACGGCAATGCACAACAACCACGCGCTGCAAATGGCATGGGTCAATGCGATTCCTGGCCCTGGCAATTTGTGACACAAACGGCGCAGCACTCAACTGTGTCACGACAAGTGGCCTGGTCGTGGAGAGCGTTCCACGTGAATTCACCTGCAGCAGCAGCAGCAACATGCGGCAGCTGCTTGGACGGACTGTGAGTGATGCACTGCTCTGTAGAGAGAACATGCAGCGCATACTGACACGGCATCGGTTTCACCAACTTTTGTTCGTCAAACGCTTGCATACAAAGCGTGCTTCTTGTACCGGTTGCACTCCCAAGGCGTAAAATCTAATTAGTTGCAGAAGCTGTTCCGTGGCTCGACCGTTTCTGATATCGAAAGAAATATGATGGGGTTCCAACTTAAAACATTGGGGTTTCGGATTGAATTCTGCTGCTGCTCCGAGGTCGAGCCTTGCAACGCCCAGCTCCTGCTCTCCTACACCGCGCCACGCTGTGCGGGGCTCAAGAATAACCGTAGAAACTTTGCAAAGCTGCTGCAAGCACTCGCGCGTAAACTGTACCAGTGAACGCATTGCCACACAGCGCTCCCATTTGGTTGTCGGAAATGCACCAGTTCAGCCCTGAAGACGGTAGCCCCTGGAAGCGCAGGAGCTCCGCAGCCGACAGTTGCCGACCGTGGCTCAAGGACCAGAAGGCCAGTTTGTTCCCTCTGCTTCTTGTGATGGTCGGGCAGTGGTCGAAGTGCATGTTGAGGGATGTGCCAGCAACATCAACAATGGGCGTGTAGCTGATCGGTGGCCGGCGCTGCGCTTCTGCCTTCACCATCACGTTCTTCATGGCTTCGAGTATGTTCTTCCGCGCTGTCTTCTGGGTCACATCGTCCAACGGAAAATCAGCCAAGCTGGCTAGCTTCTTCCGGCTTCCAAGCAAGCTTTCCACGGAACAACGCGGGATGCTGCCAGGCCAACGCAACGTGCGATCACGACCGCACCGGCGCACGGCCACTATGTAAACCCTTTCACGGTGCTGTGGCAGGCCACCAACCTCTAGGGTGTCCAACAACTTCCAGAATGTATCATACGCTCTGGAGCCGTCGCTGGGCTCAACAATCCTCCGGAGCAACTCCAGGACTTCCAGCATCACAGCCGCGTGCGTCGTGAGAAGCCCCTTCACATTCTCCAGCACTATGATGTTGGGGAGGTTCTTCGCGCAATAGCTGATGACGTAGGCCACCAGGAGCCCTCGAGGATCGCCGAGGGCTTGGTTCAAGCCCGCCACTGAAAACGTCTGGCAGGGGAAACCCCCTGACAGGACGTCTACCCTTGGGGCATCCCTCAGGAATTCTGTAGCCGTGACGTCATTGAAGCTCAAACAGTCCAGGTTCCCTTGCAGGAATCGTCTTGCCGCCGGCTCCTTCTCCACCCAGAACTTGCTGGAGAGCCACCAATCGGACAGGTACTCCGAGGTCTTGGCCATCCAATGGTCGGTCCCGAAGCCAGCAAAGCAAGACCCCATGCTTATGTTCGTCCGCGGCGAGTGTGCGACTCGCGGCAGCGAACTCGCAAGCTCCGGTCGGGCTTCCGTGCCTAACTCTGACACCAACCGTGTCAAGCTCGCAATTGCGCAGGTCTGCCGACTTCTGGAGGAAGACTTGCTCGTCCGGGCCGCTGGCTTCTTCGCCACGACGGCCTTCTTTGTCGAGGCCTTCTTGACAGCCGCAGCCGGCCGTCCTCTCGCCTGCCGCCCGGCGTGCCTGGATACCATGACGGCTCACGGCTCCCGAAAACTACTTTCAATTTGGTCGCCTTGACCTGCAACATGTCAACATAAAATCATGATTCTGGCTCGTACGGCCCGTGCTGGCCAGCAAACCCACAATGGAGCTCGGAGACGTCTCTGATCCCCGTAACAACCATTTGACCGGGCCCTCGGCCCCCACATTGATGCTTGTTTTTTCGGGTGTTGTTGGAAAACCCACCGCAAGGAAACTCGGAGACG